TTCTTTTTGTATATGTATCGGATTGTGCTGAATTGGGGCCCACAGAACCTTAAAACCCTCATCGGCACATAATCGAACGGCTGGGACTACACCCAGCTCCTTTATAAACAGACCACCTCTCCCGTCGATCATCACCTGCGGCTAGGTAGGGTTTCTGCTTTCCGTACTCGCCGCCGCTGCTGTTTCAGCGTCCTTTTTATTTGTCTACTAGATCGCATTTGTTCAGTATCGTGGTTTGTTTTGTTTGTTTCTTTAGACTTATATTTTGCTCTCTTTTGTGTAGATAGGAATTTCTCTGTTTTATCTTGCCCTTGTGGTATAGGATTTTTTTTTCTCTTTGTTTTTTCCCTGCGAGATATATTTTTTCTGATATTTCTTCCCTTTGCGATCTTGGTGGACAGTGATGAAAAGCTCAATCAAAACACACCATCTTTCGGGGCTGATTGGCTCGTTACGAGCCATGCTGCCAACTCTGCAATTCTGATGTCCCCAATTCCAGGCCGCAGATCTTTCGCGCGTCTTTTCGTAGAGTTTTTGTGCTTCTTATGCTTTTATTTATTTGTTTTCATTCATTTTGCCTTATTATACATTTATATGCTGCATCGTATAACTGGATCTGAATATTTGATGATGGCCGGTGATGAAACTCAGCAATAAAAAACACCATCTTTCGGGGCTGATTGGCTCATTGAGCCATGCTGTCACACTGCAATTAGTTCTGAGGCCAAACAGAGTAACTACTTTTGAGTGTGATACCGCATTGGTGATAAATTTTTGCAGTGAAACTATATTAAAGTTGAGTTAATATTGATAATGTAACATCAAGCAGATCAGACTGGAACGGGAGCATTTGCTGAACAATCCTATAAAAACTGAAGGCATTCTTGTTCGTCAGTCATGTACAGTATTTCGGGGAGAAACTGAAGCTATTCCTGCCAGTCATGCATATGCACAACAGTCTGAGGCGATTCTTGTGGTTGAAACCACCAATCTGAAGACGAACGAAACATCCCATCTGAAGGAACGAAACAAGCCTTAAAAGCTGGCAGTCTTATATGGTTCATGCCTGTGCGTTGCTCCGGTTTAAAAAACCATATTTTCTAGTATTTCAAGAGATTAAGTGATAACTCTAATTGTAAAAAATAAATAACTGATGTAATCTCATAACTCTATTTTCAAAAGCTACTTATATTTTGCCATTTTTCAAGCAAGCAAGAAAAAAAGCAGCTTTGCAAATCTGTAGCATGCATGGTGCTTGTCATGCTTCCACTCAAGTTTTTGCTTCCATCTTGCAATCACAAACATACATTCTGAGAGCAACATATCTATACAATTGTCTAGTCATCACATGAACATATTCGGCGTTCATAGTCCAAACAACAAGAGTCAAATTCATAATTGGTGTACATTCTATGTCCACCTTCTCAAAGACAACGTTACAATATTCAATGTCCAACGTATATTCTGAATATTTTAATTTTCACTGTCCAAACAACAAAAATTGCAATCAACATTCTTAGATTGACACAACAAATCAACAGTCACAAATTGACAAAGGCATTCAATCATTAAATTCAATATTGAGATAAAATCTCAATTCAACAATAAGTTACAACTTCTCTACTTCTGAAGCTTGGCTTCTCAAACTACTTACAATGGCCCTTCTCCAGAAGCCAAATGCTATGGCCGCCCTTCCTCCTGCACTTGTGTGGCAGATGTGGCCTTGCTAGCAGCGGTTACATCCCTCCCGGGGCCCATCGAATCAGGAGCCCTCTTACTGTAAGCTCACATTGTTGTTTGCTAAAACCTGCTAATAGATACATCGGTTACAAGCCAAGTCGGCCATTTTATTTGCTCGTACAATAAATAATTTGACTGTTGTAGTTTTCTTGGCAGGCAAAAGGTGATGCTTGCAATTTGCTGACAGAGAAAAGACCTTATAGATAAGAATATTCACTATTATTTGCAAAAGTTGCATCCAGGTGGATTCACTAACTGCATTGTTTGATGCGTGTAGTGAGTTGGGTGCAGATAGAAAAAAAAACAGATTGCACACTACACTCAATAGGCTGTATCTCTGAAATAAGAGCAGGATTAAAGGAGAGCATGTTGGCTTTCCTAAGTACAGACCTAATCTAGCTAGTACATGCAAAACTGTAGAATCACTTTTCTGAACTCTAGTTATGTGAAATAATTATTCAGGATTGGCTACAAAAGTGAATCTAAGGGACAGAGACTGAGAATAACTATGCGAACCTAAGCTGAATTTAAGAGAACTGCTTTTGTAATATGAACAATTGAACATGATTATTTCACATGCTGTAGTAAAAATGTACGTCAGTAGAGCACAATGTGCAAGTACACTAAAAGCATAGCCAATCTAGATGAAATGGCAATTCTTTCAGGGTAAATGAAAATGTGAAATCTCTGAATCTTGCATAACACATGGCATTGCCTCACCACCTTCTTTGTATATAAAATGTTTTCGAAACAAAATAATACGGAGTAGCAACAAAGGAGGAGCAATGTGGATGGGAGATATTGATGCAAAGCTGCATGCCAAGACTGAAGACCTACACTCCTACAGGCTGAAGCCATTCCAATCAGTAAATTCTGGAGCTACTCAAACCATCATAGTATACTATGTTCAGGACCTACTCAAAACGTATATATGACTGATTCATCAGATCATTTTGAAGCTCAAAGTATGGAATCAAATTGCCTGGCAAAATGACAGCTCTCAGCTCCAAACATTGTTATGATATATGCAAAAAAGCTCCCAAATGAAGCTAGCAACTCAGAAATCTAGTTCAGTTAGAATTTTGACATGGCTCTAGTGACCAATCAGGCTTCCTGAAACAAATTAAGCTGAAAATTTTCATTTAGAGTTGACAGTTGCTATTGCTAGACTTCAGCAGCAGTAGCGAGCACCACAGGGAAACAGAGCTACAACATATTCCTTCCTTCTCCTTACCTCCATCTTTGTTGCTCCCCCCTCTCCGATCTGGTCGATGGCAGTTCCAAGGACCAGGGCAACACAGCTCCAAAGCTGACATATAGAAGTACCTGTAACCAAGGTATGCCTGCTGCTGCAACAAAAATAAAGGAACCAAGAAAAAACAGATGCGGCATCTAGAACCAAGAAAGCAGGATTTTGAGCAGACGGAGCTGCAGAACTGAAATTAAGATTTATTATTTACGTCAACTTTGTTAGTATTTGGTAGTTCCGTAGGTGTACTGTTGTTGACTTGTTGGTCCTAAAACTGAATGGCTAGCCACTTGCTACCGTCCTTTCCAGGTTCCATTAGTGGTTATAAGCGAGTAGCATCACATGAATTGCTAGAGGAACATGAGAAGCAGTGTTCTGTGTAGCAGCAAACTGAAGAACCATTTGAGTCTAACCCACTCAGCCGTGCCCTCTACAAACCACAGTAACCAGACCAAACTGGCCACTACCAGGCTGGGTTGAAAAACCAACAAATCAATGTAAACCATGAGTGGACACTGCAGCCTATAAGGAAATTAAATGTCTGATCATACAACAAAACTATGATTGATTTTGCAGAGTCCAATTAACAGGGACCAATGAATCATAGACAACATACACGAACAAAGTGATCAATACCAATTTAGACATGCAAATATTGTCCGGGCAATAGAGTGTAAGTTAAATAAACAAGAAAAGGGTTTCTTTGCGTATTCCTGTAAATCTTTATTTTATTCAATTCTAATCCAATTAATCCAACCAGACCAAACAACAACAAATTTAGTCATCTATTCATAGGTACTTACGAGGATTCAGATACATTCTCATGACAACGCTAAATCCAACACAAGTTTCCGTTTTTCCCCCAATTAATTATTATAATCATAGGCTTTTAGAAATGCATGGCTCATGCTAAAGTCAAAATTTCTTGAATTAGTCAGAATCTATACAGTACCAATGCTCGTTGACAGAAGAAAGTATCCTACACACAGCCTGGAATGCCGCAACCTCCACGGCCTCCGCGACGTTGACAGGCGCCTCAACCATATGCAGCCGACCGCGGTCGTGAGGTCGCAGGCGTCACCTCATGCCACGCCATGCTGCAGGAGTGACAGGGGAGAGGGGCGCAGGAGGAGGATGACAGTGACAGCATACCAGGCTGCATTTGGGTGAGAGGGCGTCGTCATCGAGGACCTGCAGCCACACCGGAGCTACCACTCCCCGAGGGATCGAGACGCATCCTCCCATGGATCTGAGCGCCGCTGGCAAAGAGGGAGAGGGCACGCGCGCCGCCGCTGGATTTGGATTTAAGGTGAGGCAGCGATGGAGCGAGGTACAACGGCGGCAGATGGGAGGACGCGGTGCAGCTGTGGCAAACGGGATGGGGGCGCGAGGCAAGGTGGGCGGCGACGGACGGAGAGGAGGCGGCGGATGGGGAGGGCCGGAGCCCGGCGGGGCAGTGCCGAATTTTTTATTTTTTTTTGGCCCCTTTTTTCTTTTAAGTTTTTCACAAATATATCCACGAAGGTATGCTTTCAAAATCTGGACCCCGTCAAAGGGTTTGGCGCCTAGGTCGGGGCCTCGGGGGGCCATATCGGCATTAAAGTAGAACTGGGGGTGACATGGCAGCCAGCTCGACACCGTGGATCTTGGCGCCAAGCTTGGCGCCGTAGATCTTGGCGTCGAGTTTGGCGCCATAGATCCTAGCGCCGAGCCGGCCTTACAGGTGGGTCCTTTTTCTTTCTCTCTTCCTTCCTTTCCTTTTCCTCTCTTCATTTCTTCTCTCTCACTCGACGCCTCCCGCCGCCGGCGCCGCTCCCGCCGCATCTCTCGTGCATCCTAGTTGGGGACCTCTCCATGCCGGCGAGGCGGAGATGGCTGGGCAGTCGCCGGCCTAGGCCATAGGCCATAGGCGGTGCGTGGAGGTCACAGCACCAGCGCCCAAGGTCAATGCGCGGAGGTTGCGGCCCCGGCAGCCTTGGGCGGCGTGCGAAGGTCATGGTCCCCACGGCCGATGGTGGCGCGCGGAGGTCGCAGCCCAGCGAGGAGGCGTCATCGTCTTTGCAGACCCGTCTCTGCTGAGCCCTCTGCAGGTGAAAGTCCTCTCTCTGTCTTCCTCCGTTATGTCTTTTTTTCTCCACTTCTGTATGCAGTAGAGTCACTTGCAACTTGTGATGAGTTAAATAAACTAGGTGCCGAATATGAGAACTTGCCCTGTTCGGCTTGCTGAATCTTGGCTAAAACTGGCTGAAAAATATTGTTCTGGCCGAATTGTTGTGAGAGAAAAACACTGTTCCGGCTGAAAAAATAAGTTGAATAGTGCCGTTTTAAGGTAAGCCGAACGGGGCCATTACAATTCTTCAATACTGTTCTGTACTCCAATGCGATTATACACTATGGTTTCCTTTTGCATCATCAGTAGTAGGTGAGATTGAACTTATTCTTTTCCAGCCTCATCTGCAAAGGACAAAGTTATGTGATATGGAGGACCAAGAACTTGATCTGTTGTATGTAAAGAAGAGGGATCAGTTGAAAGAAGTAGTTGCATCCATGATAAAACCGAAAATTGTGCAGGGTAGAACTCTGAATGGGACAGAGTTTGTATCCTTCCTAGGGCAGGTAATACTTCTTGCAGAGTTCATTACTGGTACTGAGTTTATTGATATATCATTGCAAAATATTATCTAAAATTATCTCTTTGTTTAGATACTTGAGGCTTTGAAAAAGGTGAAATTCCATCAACCGGATCGCTTGTTGAAATTTTCAATAAGGCCATTCTTGAACGTTGCTTGAAGGTGTACAATGAAAGAATGGGCAGAGCAGGTCTACCAGTGTCAGTGGATAAACTTCAGCAGTTCCATGACCTGGCAAAAGATGAAGCTAGAAGGCTTTTCAACAAGCAGCATTTCGGTAAACATCATGCTGCTCAGTCCATCTTCAAGCTTGATGAAGAAATTAAAAAGGTTTTCCACATATTTTGTTCATCATTTTATTCAGTCCATAATAAAATCTTATCTTTTGCATTTTGTTTTGGTCGTGAAGGTTTGCATTGCTTGCTACAGAGTTCAAATTTTTATGTTTATTTTTTTCAGAGACGATTAAGTATGAAAGTGTAGTGTTTCCACTACATTTTGTTTTTTCATGGCTTTCAGGGAAAGAACTATTTTTTATTTAGTATTGTGTGCCTTGCAACCTATGCAATATGGATAATATCTTCAGCATACTTAACCAGGTATTCGTTTTAGGTCTACAGAAACTTCGGTCAAGCTAATGAGTATCAGTCATCAAAGCTGTGCGAAGCACGGTTCTCAGAGTTCGAAGATAAAATGGAACACCTTCAAGTCTTGAAGCTTCCATCCATGGCAAAATTTGATGCTGGATTTCTTCTCTGCAATCAAAGTTTTGAAATGGATTGCGTGGGGCCAGCCAAGGAAAGCTATCAACGCCGAATGTCAAAGGTTTCTCTCATTTCACTTACGAGTTCAGATAGCTTTCCATGAGGATTATCTGACTATAATAGCTATGATGGATTTCAGGGATAATGCAGCAATTAGGTGTCCTCTATTTTATGTTTGCCCAGTAACAAAATAATCACCTTTTGGCTGTGTTCCCTTTCCTGACAACGTTAAACTGAACCTAGTATTACCTTCTATGCATGCTTCCAGATGCTGGCAAGGTCCCGTGCTCTTTTCATCAAGGAGTACAACAACAAACTCTTCAACTGGCTGGTCATATTCTCCCTGGTCATGGTTGTCATTGGACGCTTCTTGATCAAGTTCTTCCTGCTTGAAGTTGCTGCGTGGGTGCTGTTTGCCTTCCTGGAGACATATACGAGGCTGTTCTGGTCATCAGAGTCCCTGTACTACAAGTCTACAACCCCGTCTGGCACATGATCGTCTCTTCGTGGGAAACCATCGTCTACAGCCCTGTTCTTGATCTTGATAGGTCAGGAATCTTCCTCCCTTCAACTCTACGTTGGCCATGGCATCTCTACTGCCTGCTATGCTGTGATATCACTATTACTCTTAGATGCTGCTGATCTACTTGCACAGATGGGCGTTCCCAATCGGTGATGTTCTGTTTTTTCTGGCATTTTATTGGCGTTGCCTTGTGGGAGGAGAGGAATTGCCCGGTCACTGCTACCTCTGTATAATGGGTCTTACAGAAGCTCCAGCCGTAAGAACAGACTGATCCCTCAATTACAGAAGCTTCAGCCGTACAACAGACTGATCCCTCAAACTACATGCACAAACACACCATTAGCATGCACACAATTGTACATAATCCATATGTTTGTGGGCACAATTATCCATAAACTTCTGCTGTAAATATGAAACCCAAATAGAGTGATTATCTATGCTCAAAGGTTTATCATGCTCATTTCCAACAACTGGATTCTTCAGTTATGAGTCAAAACTCAGATGATAGGAATTTGAATTATACGAAATACAGAAAATGAAAAAAATTGACTTTCTTTTATTCTTCACCATTTCAACAACACAGTTGGAAGCCAAGCGTACCATATGACCTGGCTCCCAACAAGAAATACATCGAATTATATTTAGTCGATTCTCACTTCTCAGTATCTCACGGCTCAAAACATCAGGCATGACAACAATCCACTTGTGGATATTATTGTAACACAGCAGTAAAAGGACGTTAAAGACCAGGGCTGTTCCACTTCCATACCAACAACCAGAGTAACATGTCAACGTTATACAAGTTCATGTGAGATGGATTCATCATCTGCGTTGTTCCCTGGACACAGACGCCTAGAGAAAACACCATCCATTCAACTCTGCTGCCTCTTCCGAGCAATCTCCCGTGCCCTTTCCCGCAGTTCTTCTGGTGGTGGAGGGCGTGGGCCTTCAGGCGGATAAACCACGTAAGGACGCTGCAAAGGGGTACACAGGTAGTTTAATCTTGATGTAAATCTATATAATCCAAGGTATATCAACACATACAGGTAATGAATTCATCTTTTGCAAGTTTGTGACCCAATGGATCAATCAATTGTGAGAAATGTTCATTGATGAACATAAAGAAACGTCTGAGCATCAGTCAACAAACCATACGACAACCATGTCACTTAGCATTAGCAGTGGAACAAACTGCCATATGCATGCTACGTCAACAAGAATGTTCATTGGGAAACCAAACAAGAATATCTATAAGAAGAGTTATAGATAAAAATTTCACTACGAAGAAGAAAAGCACCCAAACTCCAAGGACTCGATACAAGCAGGCGTTTGGCACTTTAGTGACAGAACCATGACTCTGTTTCTTGTAATAGGATTTGTGGAGTCAGGGATTCAGCAGCATACCGTTGTACCAAAGCTTAATTTTTCTTCCTAAAATAATGCAAATGATACACACTTCTCAACATTCTAGTAGAAAAAACGAAGGATAATAAGAATGTTGCATCTAAACCCAATTGAATTTGCTTGAATGAACTAGCACCGCTGAGTAGAAGACTGAAATTGTGTCGCACCATCCAAATCCAAATCAGCTAAAACCCTAGCGGCCAAAACATGTGGCGCAGGTAGCAGCACTGAACCACAGATCCCCAATCGGTCTCAAGCCCTAGTGACACAAGCAGCAGCAGCTAATTCGCCTGACAGGGAGCGAGAGGGGGAGGGAATGAGAAATTGAGAAGTATAGAAGGAACGCACGAGGCCCATGAGCTTCTTGAGGGTCTTGGAGTCGGTGGCGACGAGGTAGGTGAGCGCGACGGGCACGGAGACGTAGACGCCGAACTTGGCGATCTCCAGGATCCCCCTGGACGTCCCCAGAGACGACATGGTAGTCCGCCGGCGGCCCGGCGACCGCACTCCCCCTTTCTTCCTTCCTCCGCTTGATTCCCTCCTCACCACACCCCCGTCGATTCCGCCTTCCTGTCTCTCTTTCCTTGGAGGCGGCGGCGACGGCGAGGCGGAGCACGGGCCGCGCGGCCGTGACGGCGAGGAGGAAGGAGCGCGGGGGGACGGTGCTACTGGAGAGGAGGAGAAAGAGGAAGGGGCGCCGGCGGAGAGCAGCCGAGCGGCGGCGGCGGAGGTCGTCCCGGCCGCGATGGAGATGAGGAGGGGAAGGAGAACAAAAGCAGTGCGTCTGCGGAGAGTACACCTGGGCATTTTGCGCGCCGGACCGGGTTCGGACCACGCCAAAAAAAAAAAACAGTTATTTTGGAAAAAAAAAGAGTCCCACCTATGACCATCCACCAGGTAAGTCAGGCCTAATTATTCGTACATACGACGAAAGCAAGTTGTCCATGACCTTTTATAGTATAAAATAGCTAAAAACATTATTTCAGTTCGAGAAGTAAGAGAAATTTTTCTGGGCAGCAGGATCTGTGCCCAAGCCCTGTCCAGTAAGGTTCGTGGGCGCTGGGCGGGCCAAAACCTGTCGAGCTCAGGTCGGACTCAATTTGCTCAGGTCTAGCAGGGAGAATTAACCTTTTACCATTATAACCGACGACGCCTCCTGATATAGCACTCTTACAGGTTGTCGCTACGTTTATGGCAATAGAGACAGGAACTCGATACAAAATTGTCACTTTTTGTTCGCGTGGCACACTGGCACCTCACCCTTGCGTGGATCCGAGTCAGCAGCCTCTGTGAAATGACCGCCCTGCCCCCAGCGTCTTTCTACATATACTCCCTCGCATGGCCCACTCGCCTCTCTTGTCCCCTTCTTTCTTTGCTCCGCACGACCTAGGTCTTGCCCGCCTGCCGCCGCCGCCGTCACGCACAACTCCCCCCTGTAGCGCTGTCTCGCAGAACCACTATCGCGATGGAGAAAAGGTATGTGGCTACATGCAACCCTTTTCTGCGGTCTGCATTACAATATGTTGTTGGATGGGGACTAGGGTTAGGGTTCTTCAATTTGATTCGGGTAGGACTAGGGTTAGGGTTCTTCAATTTGATTCGGGTTTTTGTCCCTCTTTGCTTCGTAGGCAGCTGATGTAGTAGTTGGTGAAGCAATGGATTCGAGTGGTTGCCCTATTTGGTAAGTTGAATCTCTTTTTTTTAGAATTATGCAGTACAACGCAGACACCCACAACACGCATGCATACTCACCCCATGAACACACGTACGCTAACCCTATCCCTATGAGCACCTCCGAAGGATCTGAGCCAACAGATCTCGAGATTCACGAAGTCACCACACAGCGCCTCGCTGATTGACGGGGACGTCGCCACCAAAGTGAAAAGCATAGCGCCGATAAATCTGGAATAAATCCAGAAGATACGAGCACCGTGCAAGTCGATGACTTAAACACAGGTGGATGGGTTCTACCACAAGGAACCCAACCAACTGATCTATGATCAATTCGCTGGTAAGTTGAATCTCTAACTGCATACGGAATGGTAGTTCTTGGTTTAGGAAACGTGTCGTGTAGGATATTGTCTAACTCCTTGATTTTGTTTTCTTGATTCATTTTGTCAGGATTTATCATGGCAACGTATTTAGATTAGTTGTTAAGTGTGTTGAGTATGTCGTTGATGGTGAGTATGGTCTAGTAGAAATGGCTGAGCAGGAGCATGAACTCTAGTTGATAGGAACTGGTAGTATAGTCTGCAGAAATTTCATGATGAAATAGCCACAAAGATCATCTAGGGGCCATCACAAACACTGTAAGTCCAGGTGGTTGACACTGAGAGTGGTTTTGAATGGAAAGTTAAAAGAGATGAACATTTTCATTAGCTGATAAAGGATAGATGGGATGAGCCATAGCTCTGCGAGGAGGGGGGTTGGGGTGGTGTATGACAGGCGAGATTTGGGTCCTATGGAGCAGAGAAAGAAGGGGGTGGGAGAGGGCAGTGGGCCGCGTGGGGGGAGTAGAAAGACGCCAGGGGCATGGCGGTCATTTCGCACGGGCCTGCTGACTCGGATCCGTGCTGACGTGAGGTGCTGGTGTGCCACGCAAACAAAAGTGACAATTTTGTATCTAGTTTCTCTCTTTGCTATCAATAGCATAGCGGCAACCGTAAAAGTGCTATATCGTTATAATAGTAAGAAGTTAATTTCCCTCATTTGCACTTCGGATATCGACCTGAGGAAGGAGAAATCAGCTATACTCCTACGTAAGAGAGAGGAAAATAAAGTAAAGAAAGAAAATAAAAAATTAAAATAGCAAAGGTACGGAGTATTATGGACATTTTTTATCTACGTAATAAGATGTGTGATCCAAATAACCCTAGCTTCTTATTTATTAGCTATATTTTTTATCTAATTTGATTTGATATAAAATCTGCAGCAAATCTGCTTGCAGGTAGATGGACAAAACAACACTATTATTAAAGGCCTTCCAAACTGCTGGGATCAAAACAAAACACTCATGGTTGTCAATTTATTTGAAATGTCAAGGGAGACAAACAGCCTTATTCAACGACAGCTGCAAATGTTCCCAGCGATTCCACGACACAAAGAAGAAACCACAAGTCCGCCCACGCAGTGCAAGCACAAGTGATAACTACAACACGAGATTACGAAACTTGCAATGCCTAATACATATGCATGTTTATGGTCTCGTTTGGACCCAACAGCTCAGGTTCCAGCAGAGTAGATCCGGAGGAGGTCGGCATGGCTCCCATTGTCTCCTGGATAAGCTCCATGGCCCCCGCGCAAAGCGTAGCGATTTGGTTTATCTCTGTGGTATTCAGAGTTCCATTGATGGTTGGCTCTTCAGCTTGCAGTTGCAATTGCAATGGGTCTGGCATGGGCATGAAGCTGTTGTCAACCAAAGCATCGTCTGCTGGGGTGGTAGTGAAATAGTTGATGATGTCGTCTTGGATAGGCACTGGAACATCAGAGCTGGGAAGCTCTGGAATGGGTATGGAGGTCAGTGAGCTCATCTCTATGACCCGCTTTAGGGAGTCCTCTCCCATCTTCACCTGCAACCAGATTTTATACCATGTTAACTACACAGACTTCAGGATTCAATGATTTTGATGCGTTCAAGCATAAAAAACACAGTTACTGTATACATCATATCAATACCTTAGCTCTTAGGGTCTCCATGTCTGCTTTCAGTACCCTGTTGTCAACATTAGCTTCAGTGTACTTTTGGTTCATAGCAGCAAGGCGCCTCAGCAAACAAGAATTCTCAGCTTTTAATTTTTCTACCTGTAATGATCAAGCACCATTTTACACTCATTAATTACTCACATATTCTTGATTCCTTTTTCAGTAGATAGGCAAATGAAAACTATATATATAACAATATAATTTGCGATACCACACCTGGTCCTCCAGATCCTTCAAGTGAGCGGCTTTTCTATATCTTGAGCGTCTGGCTGATTCTCTATTAGATTCCTTTCTGAAATTAGGTAACAAATAAGTTCAGAAGTCTCGCATGGGAAGGCGGTTATCTTTTGTTGATATTGAAAGGATGCAAAGTAAAACCATATGTTGCAAATTAATGTTACCTTTTCCTCACTCTTTCCTCAGTAGGCATCTTAAATCCCAGAATCTCTACTTCACCATCCATATCCTCATCTGATGGTGAAGGATCCCTTGAGGAAGAGCTAGTAGCAAGCCTCACACGAAGATCTGCATTTTGAGCATGATCATTGATTGGATCTTCACCATTGTTGAGCTTGTTCTGCATCAGATTCTTGCTACCTAAATCAGCCAAAGAGTCAGGAGAAAAGTACACCTTATACATAATAATTAACTTTGCCTTTTAACATTATTATTCAGTCATATATTCCTGTAAACAATGTAACAGGGCACATAGTAGATAGTACCTCCATTTTGATTGTTTGAGCTTTGAGAACGTTCTGAGTTCACACCACTACTAGAGGCCTGTGGATGGGTATGCCAAAATTTTGAAGTTAAAACATTAGAAAAAACATCTAACAAAATTGCTGAGTGGGACCATCCAGAAAGCACGGTAGAATGGAACATGCATATGCACATGCAAAGTCAACTATTTCCATTGTAATGATTATTGTGTAGTTACCAGTAATTAGCAAATGAAATGTTGTGATCATATCTTAAATTCTTCATGTGACTTTATAGAATATTTGTATAGATATTGCAAATGTTGGCATCGGATTTGAGTTGCCACAGCCTAGTTTGATCATATCTGACCTTTATCATAAGTAAAAATAGTACTGTTTCCCTAGTTTAGTTTTGCAACCATTAAGTTTGTAAAGAGCTCGTTTGTAAATATTGCCTAATCTAGTTTTAAAAAAACTAGTAATAATGGATTGTTAGTTGTTTGTATACCCACACATGCCATAGCTCAATCCAATATCACAAATCTCGTGGCACTAGCTCCATATAAAAACAAAAACAGTGACATGTGATGTGGCATTATTGTTTGTCAGTTTGTATAGACAAACATGGCATATATAGCTCATCGGTCCTGTTTGGATCAGTTTCGGAATCTTAAAAATCAGTTTTTGTCTCTAGTTTCTAAAATCTAAATTCTGAGCAAAAACTGGTTGGAGGTGTTTGGTTCTCCCAGTTTTAAAAAATCTGTCTTCATTTATTGCTCTATGGGTCACAAGAAACTGACAAAAGCTGGATATCAATAGCTTCTTATTTTTTAATAATCTGGCAAAAACTGATAACAAAAACTGGCATATTTGGATCCCACCCAGTTTCTAAAAGCCAGAACCTTAAACACCATAAAAAACTGGAGAGATCCAAACAGGGTCATAGATCTCAAACAAATTGTAACACCATATCTCTAGATCATGAATTATCTATCCACATCACTTTTAAAAGGTGTTTAGATGCACTAGATGTGATATATATAAACTTAGTACTTCCACAAAAAGCACTAACCGATGGATTTCAATTATTGCACGACCAACTAATTAAGAACACTACAAAACCTACAACCCATAGAGTACAGTTCAAGAAACATTAGAAAAAGACAGGGAAGAGCAGTACCCTCCACACTTTGAAGGCCATGAGGTCCTCCTCCAACTTCCTCTTCGGTATGGCATTGTACTCCATGGGATCACCTACGTCACTCACCGCCGCAGGCGCCATCGCTCCCTGGTCCACCTCCACCACCGGGTCAACATTTAGGGCTGGGCAACTAGAGTTTGCCACTGGCGTTGTGTCAGTTAGAAGCTCCTCTTCTAGTAACCTCTCAAAGGTCCACTCCGTGGTGTTCTGATTCATCATGTCACCACCCTCCCCATCACCACCTTGAGTAACAACACCATCTATGACGACACTGCCGGTGCCAGTCACCAGAGGCTGCTGCTCTGGTGGTGGTGATGGTGGCAGGTCCCAAAAGAGTCCGAGGATCTCCTCCATTGAGAAGACATGATCCATGTCCAACAAGTAACTATCAATGATTTCAGGCAAAGTTCAAGGAAGGAAACAAGCACTATATCAGGTTGGCTTTGGAGAGGATGGAGAATGAAGCAGTGCAAGGGAAGGGCCCATAGATGGGTTGGCATAATGGCATATTTCTATGCACCCATGATTGAGAGCTATGCTTGGGTGAGTAGGTTTGAAGGGTGTTCTCCCCCCTATTTATCTAGTGCTGGGCTGTGTGTGCAGAAATTTCTGGAGAGGCAAAAGTAGTAGTAGTGCCTGCCCTTGCACTCAATGTGAACCAAGTAGCCTGCTGTGTTCTGTGTGACCATGGCAAATAGGACAAGTAATTTTGTTTGGAAGGGAATGGAAAAGGCTAACAGAAAACTAAGTTAGGTGTGCTACAAGTTATTATGGGTTTTATCGTGACGCTACATATATATTTTGTTTCAGTTTAAGATCTTTAATAACACGTGTGTTAGTAATAAGCCAAGCGTGCAGTGGATCAAACTGCTGACCATGTCCGTGTGTTCTAACTTTAAATCATTGGATTGGATAACAAGTTATACTGACTTTGCACTACATACCATGCCTTACCAAACATGTATTGCACTTTCTGTTCTACCTAGATCATATCTTTGAGGTTCATGTGGAGGAACTACAAGAAACACAAAAAGAAGTACACAATCTTCACTTTTATTGTGATGATGAAAATGCGTACAAGCAATCAGCTGCCCAAATGAAAGCAAATAAGCTAAACAGAAATCTCAGCTATAGATGCTATGAGGATATGGGATATGGCATAGTATAGTTTTAAGTTTTTGTTTTTTCCTGTGACTTGCTAAATTTAGAGTAATCTTGCCTAATAATCCAATAAATGATGCTTATCCATTTATAACCTTTCTGATCACTGACTAAGGTCCCGTTTGGCACGGCTCCACTTCACTCATGAAGCCCTATTTTGGGGCTTCAGCTCCATGAACAGCTCTATGGGTGGAGCTGTAGCCGTTTTGATAAATCGTTTGGCAAAACAGCTTCACATATAGTTTTTCTTAAAATATGCTCTCAGAGAACGTCATGTAGAATGAGGTGAAGCCGAAAGAAGCCACTATTTTTGGCTCCTTCCCACTCCAAAGCTCTGTGAGAGCACGTTTTTAGGGGCTTTATCGGTGGAGCCGTTTTATTTTACCCCGTTTGGCAGAAAACGGCTCCAAACGGCTCCTGAAGCCGCTAGAGAAGCCCTACCAAACGGGGCCTAATTATTAGCCAACAGGCTGCACTTATTAGCTTGTCCGCTACAGATAGCTTTCTTATCTAGGAAATGTGCACAGAGAAACATAATCTTACACACTTTGCACTAAGCTGTGTTACCAACATGTATATATTCATTTTTTCACTAATTTATGCTCCTAATAAAGTATGGTATTTATGGTGACAATATTATAGATTTTTTTACGACGAAAGAAGAATTATTAGATAATGGTTGGGTACATCAACACGTTACAAGCATTCTGGATTACACAAATATCCAGAAACTGATTTCCATCTAAATTGTACCCACGCTGTGAATAGCTCCAGATCTCAAAACCAAACTTGTACAACGCTTTACAGTATGGATGACCGCACAGGCAAACACTCGGCAAAAGGCCTGCGAACAGATACCCAACGAACGACAGTCAACATTCGTGTAGGTGGAGTTAAGAAACTTCTTCTTTCTGGTGTCTTCCTTCTTCTTCTTTCTGCCACCGAAGAACGAGGAAGACCGATCTGAAACTTAATTTTCCTAATCCTTCACTGTGGCCAGATCTAACCATGATAAAACGGAGAAGAAACCGGAGAAAATTATTCCATGGCGGCGACACCATCTCCGCCTTGATGTCGCCGTCCGGAAATAAAAGTCTCCATATCATTCTGGTGAGGATGTTGACGCCGTAGTTGTCGCCCTCATCTTCAATAGAGACGCCATGGAGAAAACGATTCCATCCTGCCCTCTCGCCGTCGCTGGAGAGGAGAAGGAGGGGATAAATCCCCAAAACCAAAAAACTTGGAATGGAGAGACCCTAACCCTAAGAACTCGAAAAACTTATAAAAACGATGGATCCCCACTCCCTCCGGCCTCCGGCGATATGCCGAAGGGGGGGGGGGGGAGGAAGGGGGATCAGTGGCGGCGGCGCTCCGAGCGTGAGACGCAAGACCTGGCGGCTGCGTATCGCAACGCGAGACCCTGTTGATGATATTATAGATTATTTTTGTACATACACTTTCACACACATCTACTCTAATCTAAATTCATATATAGAAAGCCAATCACATTTTTATGTTGGCCCACAGCGCCGATCCTGTCGGCTTTGGAGCTTCTCCGGCGACGCCTGCTCAATGGACAACGGACTCGCCTCCGTTGTCGACTATGCAAGGGCTGCCACAGGTGACCTAGGGAGGATGGAGAAGACTACCCACCTGGGTTTGGGCCAGTCAAGCACCGGGCCACCAGGCGGACACTGGATCTATGCCGACGCGGGACAGGCATCTGGGCCACGATGATGGTGACTCCTCCGCTGCACGCCGCCTCCGGAGCTTCACCAAACGAATACTTCGGAAGGTTGCCTCTCCGCTCTTGCCTCGACCGCCTGCACAGCCGACATCCTCTACGTCGGTACTCCTGCTGTGCAGCAAGCGCTTGGCGGCTCAGGGCCTCTCTCGGGTGCCTGCTTCCAAGCGATGGGAGGTCCTCATCATGCCGCACATGGCCCTCACCATAGGATTCTCCACGCCAAGCACGTCGGGAAAGAAGATATATCAGGACCTCTTCGAGACAGACCCGAGTGCTTCCATTGTCGAAGCATTGCACACCCTATTTCTAGACATCGGGATAGGGACGCGCAAGAAGCCGCGTTGACGGAAGGACGTTTCTTGAGTCGAAGCGACACCCGTCTCTTGGTTGTTTAGCTTCCGAGTAATACAGTAACTTGTATCAATACACAAGGACGGTCCGGCCTTGTGCTGCTCCTTCTAAACCTCCTAGGGTGCTTAGTTAAAGTGCAACATTTGTATGTTTAAACTCTTCTACCTTAATGTAAAAAATACGCAAATCTTTTGTGTATTCGGGAAAAAAAATATTTTTATGTTTCAAAGATAAAATTTCCAAAGTTTAAGGACGTTTTGGTTTTCTAAATACATATATTTTATTATGCATTTAGATATACACTATTTTCTGGATGTATAGTAAAAGCAATGTCCCTAAGAAAGATAAAAAACGTTTTCTAATTTTTTTAAAAAGAGGGAGTACATAATGAATGCCCATTTTATGACCAGGCCATTACTTTCTGCTAGTTTTGTTTATATCTTCAACTTTTCTACAAGAAATGGAAAATACTGACACAAGTTAGGTGCTATATATGATGACGACCCAAAGCTTTCCAAATCCAAAAAGACAAAGGTTAACAAGAATTGTATGTATCTGCTACTAAGATACAAATAGTTATGCTGGCATTGTAATTTTCTGCCTTTTCGATGCCCACTAATATATGTTAGTCCGTATTAATATAAATTCATGTAAAAGAGAAAAAATAAAAATAACTTTTGTAACTTTATCCTAGGCACACCACATTGTACTTAACACATAATTAGTCTCGAATTCATTACATAATTGCGTTGTACTAGTCTCTTCCTAAAATACCAAGCACTTTAAATGTGGATCTCATGTTGACTCGTTCAAATGCTGGGTTAGAGAAAGAATAGCCATTCAGGACCACGATCATGCCTACTCATCCAGACACAACCGGGTGTGGTGGTGGTGGTGGTGGGGGGGGGGGGGGGGGGCACATCTTGTTCAGATGACGGAATCCAATGAGAAATTCAGTCAGTCACTGACCTTAATAATCATGCTTACTAAGGGTGATTATGCTCCTCCGTGCAAAACATATGAACATTGTGGGGGCCTTGATTTATTCATTTGAGAAATCAACATAAGGACACAATTATTTTCGCTACACAACCCTGCAAGCCAAAATTGGAAAAGAAAAATTTTAATTTCTTTGCTAATGAAAATGGTTGGTTCATGGCAATGCAGCCTTCAGGTTCTTGGCTAACTCTTCTAGCTTCTTCAATCCTTCTTCTGGAGAAGCAGCTTCCCCCAATAGCCTCACCATTGCGCTACCGATGATCACACCATCTGCGCCCCACCCTGCAATCTGAATAGTACAATAAACGAAGCAACAAGGGTGTCAAAGGACCTGCAGTAAGAAACAACCCCAGATAATGTACTTAGCAGGAGATGACAGCTATGATTTACCTGCTGCACATGCTCTGGAGTGGACACACCAAAGCCAACCACCACGGGTTTTTCTGTCACCTATAAAAGCAACATATTTTGTATTAGCACTGTGTCCTTCGAACAGTACATAGGCTAGGCAGTAACATTGCTTCACTAACTAGCATTAAATAAGGATGATGCAATTGCAAACCTTCTTGATATCCTGAAGAAGAGATTGCACCTTGCCACTCACATTCGCACGTGTACCAGTAACTCCAACAGTGCTTACCTGAATAGCACATATGTTAGCAACTGACTCATCATCCATCCAGTTGTCTATCAAAAACTAAATCCCAAGAGGAACGACTTCACCCAACCCCCCAGGGGCATAGCATTAAGAAGAGGATCATCAAATGTATTAAAATATATGCAGCAATAGTAAAGTTTGCCTTACTACTACTGCATATATTATAGTTTGCTTTCCATTATATTTTTCACACAGTCCAAGCATGTCAGCACAGCTATCACCAGGATATTTTCTCGGTGGCTGAGAGTAAAGTTCCAGCGAAGTATGCCAGAGCAGATACATGTCTTTTCTAGGTTTAAGCTACCAACTTGAAATGGCACAGGTTGTTCAAAATGTTTGTAGACTCAATGTGTAATAGGTCTATTGTGCACTGCAATTGTTCTTCTTGAATCTTATGTATATTGGACTATTCTAAACTTCCAAATTATGTATTAGGAACAGAGGTATGATGTAACA